CGCGGCAGGCTTGCGTTTCGCAAGCCCTAGCTATTACTTCTTGGGGCACCGTACCTTTCCAACTAGTGCGTTATACTGTGGCTGAAAGTGCTTGGGGAAGAGTCCCCAACATGTTGCATGTGGAAAAAGTCCTCCACAGGCGGCGCTCTCTCAGCCACCCCCCGAAGTGGCCGTTAACCCACAAAGTTTGTGAAATCTCAGAAGGTTTTTCTCTCTTGATCCCTCCTCCCTCCTCTTCATTTGCTGGGAGCTGAGCAGTTGCTTCTCCCGTCTGGCTAGTAGTTTGACCGCGTAATGCCTGCCTCGTCGCATCCGCCAGTGTTTCAGCGAGGCGCAGCAACTCATAGACCGCATCCGCCTCTGCGCGGAAGAGGACCTGCAGTTCCAGAGCGACGCCAACCCTCTGCAGCATGAAGGCAGCAATACGCTGCATCAGTTTGAGCTTGTCTTTCTGGGATTTCGCATNCCAACCCTCTGCAGCATGAAGGCAGCAATACGCTGCATCAGTTTGAGCTTGTCTTTCTGGGATTTCGCATCCCGCACCGCCGACATAGCTGCCCGCTCCCAAGGGTCACTCGCCAGGCTGGCGTCTTCCCCAGGTGGCAATTCGGGCTGCCCTTCTCCTCCCTCGCGTTCAGATGCAAACTGTGGAGGCTCTATGAGGTACTGTAGCTGCAACAACGTTGTGAGGATGAACTCCATCCGGCTATCCTGCCCGCCAACGGGGAGGGCGCAGTTCAACCCAAGGCTCCTCAAGGCTGCCACCAGCCGGCGCAGCACCACAGCCGAGGCGAAACTCATCCTGCATAGCGAACTTTGAATCGAACTCTTCAAACACCTATAAGGCTAGAGCGAATGTAACCACCAGCACCAGCAGTCCTGAAACTGCATCCAGTGGACACACCTAACGCAGGTATCGAGCGGGATCTGCCTTTCTCAGACAATGCTCAGCCTTTAAAGGGAAAAATTAGTTCTAGCCACTGCAAAAGAAGCCGCATTTCGCCGTAGAAACAACTCTAGAAAATGTAATATACAATGTCCGAACCAGGAATCGAACCTGGGTTTACACGGCCACAACGTGTTGTCCTAACCTCTAGACGATTC